AGGGTGGGAACCAGATGAGCTCTAAGGTCCCTTTCAACCCAAGCCATTCTATAATTCTATGATTCAGCACCAACTCTGTAACAGGGCAATTTTGTCTGGGAAATACTGGCAGCATTTAGAAGGTTACTGCGCAGGCCTTGCCAAACTAAGAACAATCACTACAGCAGCCTTGCCACAGAACTCACTGCTTTCCTCCAACTGTGGCCTCAAAATTCCTGATAAAAGCAACCTCACATTAAAGCTGCAAGTCCTACCAATTCAAATACTATGAACTTGATGGAATACCTACAAAACTTCCAGTGAAACCTATGAAAACTTTGGTGTCTCTTGGGAAGGTAGGTAGAACCAAGCCTGTAGGTTCACTTGAAGGTCTTTGCCAGTCTCCTCTTTAGATTCCTTACCATGGCTGTGGATGGTGTGTGGGAGCCAGGGACTCAGCGCTTTCTCTGCTAACATAAAGTGCTGCTGAAGCACCACGGGCCACCAAAGTCCCACCTATGCGGGTGCCTTGTCTCATCTGGCAAACCTTCAACTTTAATCCTCGGTAGGGGGCTCTTGAAAAATGAAAATAAGCTCTTACCTTCTCACCAAAAGCGCCCCAGCAGCACCCACACCTGTCCACACCTCATATCCAACTATTTGCAAAGGACAAAAACTCTGCCCAGAAGTACAACCCATCTTTCTCATCACAGGTTCCCTGTGTGATCCAACCCAAGGATGTCCCAGCAAAGGCTGATGTGGGCAGGGCAGTCAAAATGCAGGATGCAGAGAGATGAGATGCCACAGCCGAGAGATGGATGCTGCCACCTCCAGTTCTGCAGCCATGGATTAGGAGCTGTGGAACAAACTCACCAGCAGGCGGTAAGGAAATGAGATGGATTAGTGCCAACTCTCACTATTTAATTGCAAATATATTCTGTTGGTCACAGACTCGGGAAAGCACGAGTTCCCTTTTCCTAACATACATTTCTCTGTTTGTAACTCCTTCAAAGAGCTTGCCAGTGGAGTTTCTTGTATGAAGGGCACTTCTTTAGTTTTTCCAGGTTCTTGGGTAGTGACATAAGCTTGTCAAAAGGAATTTATACCAAATTCAGTAATTTGTGCTGCTTCTAACTGCCTAATGGGAAGGCTGCAGACATGTAACTCCTAAGTCAGTGACAATTTGTATTAAAATTATAAGAGACCCCCACTTACACCTACACTCTTCAGCCTCTCTCTTTGATAGAATATGTGTGCAGACCCAGAGGAATGAAACTTAGATATGGGAGATGATCCTGATGTTTGAATTCTCATCTCTGATCAGTGTTCAGGTCTCACCTGTTAGGAAGATTGTTTATCTCACACCCATGCTAGGTTTCTGGGTCCAGTAACAGAACATGCTGAACTAATTTGATGATCATACTATGGAGATGTGTATAATACCTGTCCTGAATTTCTGTAACAGCTGAGTTTATGCCATGTCATCTTCCTGTAGGATCTTCACACCTTCCTTTGAAGTCTTGGTGGCTGTTCTCAAAAATGAGACTCATCTCACATGAAATAAATGATGAATATCTGCTTTGCAGGAACCCTTTTTATGACAACTAAGAGTTTAAAATCCACTACCTTCAGTTCTCATAAAACTGCCTCTGCTCTGTTCACCTGTGGACCTTCCCCATGGTTGTTGAGTATTTTTGGTGTGTGTTGTCCACTCCAGAGTTACCTGCCTTAGAGAGAACAGCAAATTTAAGGTAGTGGAAGGGAAAGTTAAGGGACTTAGCTGGGGGAATCAATTTGTTTCTGCCCCTATTTTAGAGAGAGACTTTTTCTTCCTCTGCCTTTCAATTTACCCTTCTGACTGTTGAGCAGCGACTGCTGCCTGCAGAAAAGCATTTCTGCGGTGCACAGCGCTGCCTTGACCTTGACTGGAACTTACAGCTGCTGCTGTCATAAAGTAATAACCAATATTAATCACTGACACTCCAGTTATATGAATGTCTTCCCTTTGGCTGAATAATCCATCTGCATGCACCTCCCAGCCTTCCACTCCACAGAGGTGCCAATAGATTACTCAGTGTGGATAATTACCTGGGCACCCTGCAGGATTGTGACAGAGGAGATGTATTGATTGTCTCAGGGCAGTCCTATCAGGGAGCTCTCAGACACAATTCATCCTGCCCACCTGAAATGATAACTTAAGAACTGGAAATCCCTATGGGGGAATCAGATCTTTGAAGTTCCCCTGGGACAACCTCTGGGTGCCCCTCTCCAGAGCTCCAGGCCCTGAGGAAACACAGAGTTGCCCTCAAGGGCATTCTTATGTTGGCACATAAATGATGTACCTATGCAGAGGAAGTAGCTGAGCTACAACACAAAGGCACTTTGCATCTGGAGGACATGTTCTCAACGCAGCAAAACATCTTTGTTATGAATGTAACATATGTGGTACTCTTCCTCTGTTTGGCAGGAGATAAGAAAAACAGAAGCAATTCAAAAATGAAAACAAAATGGAGCATATAAGCATCGTGAAACAATTACAGTGCTGTGTCTCATTAGGATCTAAATCTGGGATTGCCAGTCTTGTTTTAAAAACAGTTTTGTTCAACACCCAGTGACAGAATTTAAAAGCTGACATATCTTGCTGTATTGTGGGCCGCAGTCACAGCTGGTGTAAATCAGTATAAACTAATGAAGTCAATGGAGCTTCTCTGATTTACACTAGCTGAGGTTATGGCTCAATAAGGTTAGGCTTGCTTTCTAGGAGTGTTCAAGGAAGCCAACTTCTGTGTGTCCTGTGATGAAGTGGTTATTTATAATGGCCTTCAGTGTGGTTTGGAGCCAAATTTCCACATCAAAAGTAGCTTTATAAGAGATATCCTTACAGTGAGGTTCAGTGCAAAATCATGACTTCAGAAGCCAGCTTTCCTCATGCACTCAAGTATTTGATTTCAGCCTGAAAACCATTTGAGAAGCCAAGAAAAGCAGAGCCATTCCTGCCTACTTCCCCAGCTCCGCTTCATCTTTGAGTCGCCTGCATATCCAGCAGGCCCCGACCTACACTGCCCATTTATCAAGGCAAGTTACTCTAAGTGTCTGTTTATTTATGTTCAGAAATTCCCAGTAAGACAGACAAATTTCATGCTCAACCTGAAAAATTGGGGATGGGGGGTGGAGTTCTTACCAGTTCCAGAGCTATTTGTTGGACTTGGCCACTAGTGAAAATAAAACACAATAACGTGTCCCGGAGTCACAGCGAGAGGTGGAGGTCACAAGAAAACAGATCATGTCTTTCACAGCTCCTCAGCTTCAGTGCACTGAATTATGACTCCTATTATTTACTCACTGGATTCTCCACCCTGCATGCACGCTCCAAGCATTCAAAAAGCAGCAGGTCTCTGCTTACAAAGGACTGACAGGCAAGTGAGAGAGGGGAAAATCTGTCCTGAAGCTACAGTAACCTCCTCCTCCTCCACATTTGATCTGAGAGGTCAGATGTTCTCACAACCCTCGGCTGACTCCTGCCATCTGCTGAGCCACACCTGCAGTCCTGCACCTCTGTGCTCTCCTCTGCTGAATTAAAATGCCAGACTCTCATGGCAAAGATGTCCCCAGCACAGCCAAACCTGCTCAAGGTGGGCTTTTCCAGAAGGATATTGTTCTTTTTCTTAGGAGAACCCTGTTCCCTGCATGTCCAGCCTCGATGTGATCAGAAAACATCACAGGTTCTTTCACTGACCTTGTCACCTTGAAACAGATTGATTTATTTAGAACTTAGTGCTAAAAATGCAGTTGTCTTGATCTCAGTTGTTGAGATCCCCAAGCAGGGCTGAAGCCTCTCCAAACTTCCTGAGTGGTTTCTACATATCCTGTGGAGAATGCCGCCCTTTTCTACACACCTTTCAGTGGGTTTAATCCTCCAGGATCTCACTGGGGCTGAGGAGACAACTTTGTGGTGATACTTCCAAGAAGGGAAACTTCTGAACTGCCAGCAGCAGAGAAATCCACACACAGACTGAACATGAAAGTGTGTATGTAAGAGCCTGCCTGGCATCTGAACCTCTTGGGAAGTACCACTTTCTCCTAAAAGCACAGGATCATCCTCTTCTTTCATATCCTCAGGTTTTGCTTTTGGTCTCCTCTCTTCACAAAACATGTGATAAATATTTTCTCGTTAAGAGCTGCAATCTCCTTTTCCAGGGAATGTTCCTGGTCCATCTTGGGAGGTGGTTAGAGAACCCCATTCAGTTATTGATCATTCACCAGCTTCCCAAACCAGCTGGGGTTTTTCTCAGTACCCAGCACACCAGCTGAGTGCTGTCTTTCTGGATACAGAAATATCACTCACTGTTCTCCCCTTATTAGGTTTTTTCTATGTAGATATTTTTTCTTTGTGATTGTGATTTAATATGGAGCCAGAGTAAAGCCAGAAAATAATTTCGCTATTAAACCCATCAGGGTTTGTTATTTGACATTTGGGTAGGCAGTTACACTAAAGCATCAGAAATTCAAAACGCTCCTGCTCCCCTCTACTTCTGTGCCTGGATCTAAGGACTATGACTAAAAGTGCGTTGGGTTCATTTGTTACCTAAGAGAAATCATTTTCTACTTAACATATTTCACAAAGAACTATTTTTTTTGTTACATTACTTGTGTTCTCCTCACAAACACTCTCACAAACTATAGAAAGGTTCCACTATCACCTGTGTGCTCTGTTTTTTTCTTAGCTTCTCCAGATGAAGCAAGTGTGGAGATTTTTTTTTCTTTGCCTGGACATAGTTCAGCAAATGTCTGAAATATTTTCAAATGAAAAATCTGAAAAGTTTCAAAAACTTTTAAAATGGTTAAAGGCACTCAGTCTTTCTGCTTTTTAACCCAAACCAAACAGAATTTCTACCTTTTTTCTAAATTTATTTAATAATTTCAAAAAGTAGTTGTGTTTGTCTGTCTCAAAATTTTTAAAAAGAGAATTCAACCAGACAAATTAATTTACTTTCAGTTAACAGTCTCACAGCCTTTAAGTATTTGGCTTAAATTCTAGTTTTTAATGCTTGTCTAGTCTTACTAGGGTTGAACTGGAAGGCAGTCAGAAGATTCTCAGATAACAGGCAGGAAAAAACAATATAAACCCCTTATCCCAGAGGAACTAGAAACAGTGAATTACGCACAAGTAATGAAATCGGTTTCCTCACCATCAGAACTTCTATTGAACCACCGAGTTTCAGAACTTTCCTTGAATCTGGTTGGGGCAAAGACAGGAAACTGCATCTTCTGAGCTTTAGAAATAGATCTTAAACATGTAAACATAAGATATTATGCCCCTGTCTTTTAAGTAACATTTATATTATCTCAAATAAACAGTCTTGCCGAAGTTAGTCCGTAATTGACATCTGACACAGTCCACATTGCAACAGATATGATAAGTGCAGTAAACAGCAGAAATCATGCTTCTCTGTGCTCTGAGAAACATTCATATTTCCTTGCACAGATAAACTTTATTTTGTTGCTACGCAACTCTCACACAACAGACCACATTCTGCAGTAAATAAGAGTACAAATTTTACAACTGGAGGGCAAGCATGTGGCCTTTTGGGTTTTCTCCCCATTTCGAGTTCCAGCCCCAGCTTTAGTTCACATTATAATATTCCATCATTTCATTACAAAGCTGCCTCTAAAGCTCAGTAAGGGATATTTCAAACTGAGCAAAGCGGGAGAGTCAGAATGCATGAGGCTGATGGGAAACAAATGGTGGAGCTGGTGATGTCAGTGAAACCATGACATGAGGAGTTTTTTCTCTTTTTCAGTCATCTTTAATAATGAACATTAAATTTTCACAGCAAGATGTTCAAAACCTGTGTGCCCTCTCCCTGCTCCCTGTAATACCGCCATACCTGCAAGGGATATGAGGCAGGTGAAGAGCTACACTTGGTTTTACCCAAGATGAGAACAGTATAGTCTTACCTCTTTCTTTACTGTTGTAAAATTTCTCCTGAATTCAGTGGATATTTGGATTGTTTAGAGAACAGAGGCACAGATCCTGTGTGTCTCTGCATCCTCATCATAAGCAGAGTGAAGAACACAAAGATTTATCTGACTTAAGGGTGTGCATGGAAACTCAATAGAACCACTAGGCTCTTCCCAAGTCATGGGTTAATGGCTCAATTATTCAAGTTTCCCTTTTTCACATGGCTGCAAATTCTACAAACTCCCCCAGGTAGCATCAGCCTTCCCTTGCCACTGTTAGCAAATCAATCCAGGTGAAAAATGTGACTTGGAGCTCCAGGTGGATGCAGCTGGCACAGTTTGGGCTACAGGGATTTGCATTAGCCTAGGAACTGATGTACATCCAATGCTTGTACATAACAGCTGTCTGATTGCAGAGGAGCTTGTGCCATTTAAATGGCTGAATTTCCCCAATTTTCCCCAATTTTGCTTTGCTCTGTGGTTCCTTACAATGAAGAGTCCTCTGGGCTCCTAAAGTCTACGTGCCACAAGCCCAGATGCTTATAAAGTCACTAGGGAAAGGACACTCTGTTCATAAGAAAGCAAGATTTAATCTCTACAATCTACAGTCTAGTTTCTCTAAACAGTGAGCAAGAAGCATCTTTTCCATTTAAAAATTCAGCATTTCTGTTTGCTATCAAAACATTTCTGTTTATAGTTTCACTTTAACAGCTAAATTACTCCCAGGCATGGAAATTAATTATCAGCATTTGAGATTGAAGTGTCTACGCTGGTCTTATGTAAAGGCCCATCTCTAATCACACCTCCCAGTGTAGCAGCTTTCCTTAAGAGCCCGAGAGATTTGGAAACACCTGTAAAATTTGCTTTGAGTTCTTTCTTCAACAAGTGATCTCCTACAGAGGAGAGCATTCCCTCAGTCAGGATTGCAGGAGAGGGATTCCACAGAGGGAATGCAGTTGGATTTTGTCTGGAAGCACAACAGGCAGCGCACAAGGCAAGAGTCTTCAGACCTAAATCTTGGAGAACAATACTTGATGTCTTCGGATCAGTGTCCTGCCAATTTCTTCTACTCTCCGGCATCCTGGAGGAGAATTTGCAGATCAGTTCAAGCCCCTGATTTTCCAACCCACTCTAAGCCTTTTCTTTTTCTGCCTCATAAAAATCTACATTCTGTCAGATGAAATCCACCCCTTACCAACCAAAGATTTGCCACTGCTTGTCTATGGATTTATTGCTCTCCTTGTGAAAAAAAATCCCAAAATAATGTTATCACCTAATCTACTCAGTTCCCCATTTACAAGACAGGGAGAACAAGTCTTTTTCCCATTTCTCCGCAGACTAACCTGCTTAGATTGCAAACATTCCCCTCATGCAAGTTGCTATAGCATCTTGCCTGGGGCAAATGAAAGCTCTGAGGAAATGAGACTACGGAGAGGAAATGTTGCTGTCCCACCTGTCAGTGCCATTGCCAGGCGAAACTCTTCCTTCAGCATCTGGAGAACTTCTTTTGCTCCTTCTTCACCCTGGGAGATTAGGAGACAATGTGAACTATTATGTGTACGTGTATGTGCGTAGGTATAGACACGTATACATGTGCCAAGAAAAGTTTTATACACAAACATAAATCCTGAGTGTTGGTCGTAGCAAATTTTAGCAAATAGCAAATCAGATGATCTGGATGCCCACAGAGACATCAAACACACACTCCTCTGTGCACACAGACACAAATATGTGCATAGAATGAGGCTAAAGAGTGAGTCTAGGGATGTAAAGTCATGCAGCTGAGCTTTTCCTCACTTACTTGATAAGCCAATCCCCAGAGGACAGGTCTCCCAATGAAAACAGCTTTGGCACCAAGAGCCAATGCCTTGAGAACATCCGTGCCTTTTCTTACACCACCATCCAGGAACACCTCCACCTTCCCCTCCACAGCCTCCACAATTTCAGGCAAGACATCAATCTAAAAGAGAGAAACCAGGAACACAGCTTGGCTGCTCCTGAGACCCTGTTTATTTTTTTGAGACAATTCTTACGCACAGGATCCAAGCTTTACAGCAGCTTCATGAGAAGTTGTGTACCTAAATCTATACCCAAATAACACAGCCTGGAATTGAGAACCAGCAGTGACTTTGCAGGGTAGAAGGTACATGCAAAGGTCAAATTTATTTGGTGAGTCACATAAACAGAATGAGAATCAGCAGGGTCTCACTAAATGGCTGTCTGACCCCATGACACATACCTGACACAAGCCAGTATCTGATTCTTATGCAGAATATACGAAACAGCAGCACTAAGGAAGCCCTTTGGTGGTGTTACCTCCCAAACTTTCAGTCTTCCCTAGTTTGGGGATGAAATAAAATCAGCTCACTTTTTAAATAATCATTTTTGCTTCCCTGTTTAAATTTCCCATTCATTAATCCTGAGGGCCATCTGAGGAGCCCAGAGGCAGGTTATACCTATAGACAAGGAGTGAGAGAAACATGCCTGAAGGAACTTAGAGTTGGCTGAAAATTTTTAATTAATGTATTTTCCCTTTTGAAAATGCATCTAATTATAGGAATGAACATAGAGAAAAATTTCTTAATGTAAGAAAAAATTAATTTTCCTCTAAGTTTTGAGCAAGGTGGGAAATAATTTCTTTTAATGCATATGTATGTTGCTTTCACTGAGCTCTGCTCATCCCCTTTCTCAACTTATCCCCTACACCAGAGATGCAAGTAGAGGGGGGGAAAGTTTTTTACTGCTCTCAAGTTACAAGTAAGTAACCAGGGAATTAAGTCATTCCTCTTGCCATGCAAGAGGTCCCAGTGAAAGGATGAGCCTCCTGAATTCAAGCCTGGAGCATTAATTACAGGGCAACGTTTCCTATAAGGCCACCTAAATAGTTCCTATTCATGAAAATCAGGAAAGGAACACCACCAGGAGCCAAGTATTAAGGAGACTGGAAACAGTGTGTGCAAGAGAAAAGACACACAAATTCACATCTTTCAAATACGGATGTAATTAATTTCCTTTCTAATGGATAAAAATGACTAGAAGATGGGGGGGAAATACTTGAAAGTGCAGTTTGTTTTTAGATTTGGATTAAAATTTTCTCAACGTTTGGCACTTGCTGTGATTTTCCCCCTCCCTTTGGTTTTGCTCTCTTGCCAGACATATTTTGGATCTATTTCCATATCCAGAGACCACTTTCTACATCCTGACAAACTATACCAACATTAAAGTGCTCTAATAACTAAAGCATGATGCAAACCATAATTAAAACATAGATTTCCTCAATGTGTAACTAGACACTAGAAATATTGACCAGCTCGGGTTCAACTCACGATCTGAAACCCCACAAAACTGAAGCAAATTATTATGTTTCTAAATCAGAACCATTTAACGTGATCTGATACAGATACATTATAAAAACAGCATTGTGAAGTGTTGTTCTCTGTACCAGAAATCCAGGGAACACATCAGCTTCAGCAGTTCTCCTCTGCCCTGTGGTGTGGCAAGGGAGTAACTCCTAACAAGGAGTTTGCAATTTCTCTTCTACTGCAGCTCTCAAAAATTAATTTGTATTTCTTGAGCTCCCCTACATTCCTCAAAATTATGTTTTTAATAACCTTATATATTGTTGCTGTTGAATTACCTCACACACAGGCTTGCCCAAGAGTTTTGAATACCCTCAATGAAATTTGGAATACATTCCCAGGAGGTGACAAGAGGACCTGTTCTCCTCTCCCTTCAGGGAACCATCGTGGAAAACAGGAGGTTTTTCATCATGAACCTATTGGAAATACTCAGAGAGGCACAACTGGGCTTTGACTCTCCTCCCTTTCATTCTCTTTTTATTTGTGCAGCTTTCCCTCACCAAATGAAGCAAGATGAGTGATGACTGGAATTTTGGGGTTTTTCCTTCATCCTGTGCACATACTTTTTCATTTTCCTTTACTTCTTTATTTTTTGCCGACTGAGAAATTCTCAAATCCCTTTCACCTTTGGAAAAGTCATGGGGTAGCACGACAAGGAAAAGGAAAAAGGAAAAACTGTAATTTAACCACTCTCTCCCTTTTCCAAAGGTGAAAATACTTGAAAGGAGAAAAATGGAGAGTTTCATTCTGCCTTTAGCTGTTCCTTAACTGTAATTTTTCAGAAGCCTCCAAAGAATATTAAAAGAGGGAAAACAACCCTAATACAACCTTCAGTGTGCTGCAAATGGCAACAAGGGTTTTTCAAAAACAGAATGAGAAAGAAGAAATGGAAGAGGAGAGTGGAAAAAAAATTCTGAAAGGTTTTCCAATTTGATCTACCAAGGAAAGGCTGTGTCTAGCTCAGAGTATGATGTACTCTACATACATAGAGCAGCGAAGAGAGGTTATTACTCATGGCTTAAGGCACAGAACACTTATTCCAGGTTTTTCCTCCAGCTTCCACATGTTCAGAGAAAGCAAACAAGAAGCCAAGAGGCAGAGAAAATTAGAGATTGCTGGAGCATATTTGCATCAGTACTCACAGTAGCAGGGACCCCATCAAGCTGTCGTGCTCCATGATTTGACACCAGGATCCCATTTACCCCAATCTTTACAGCTTCTTTGGCATCATCAGCTAGGAAAAAACCCCAAACAGGATGTGTCCTTCCACAATCGGGAGCTTGTAGACACCACAATCAGGGAATCACTAAAGAAAGCACTGTCAGCTCATGCAAAGCCACCTTAGGGCTTCAGCCTTTCAAAGCCTCACCTCAACAGAGAAAAAGGTTTTATCTTTAAGTAATAAGAGCAGAAAAGTAGTTTGAAATGTTGGAGCAGAACATTTTATCCCTTTGGATCAGCAACCACTTTGGTTGCTAGCCTTTATTTTCTCTATTATGTTCCAGAACTCGATTTTGTCCCACTGCAAAATCACTGACATGATCATATTAAGGGTGGTATTGGTGACAACACCAGGCACTTATTTAAACAACTGCTTCCACAAACACCTTCACTGGAGTGTTTCTATCAGTGCAGGAGGAAGTGACAGCTCTTCCTTTGCCTTGCCCTGGGAAGCAGCAGAGCTACGCACCCCTGAGGATCCCTTTCAGCACGATGGGCAGCGAGGTCAGCCCCCGCAGCCACTTGATGTCCTCCCAGTTGACACTGGCATCGATGGCCTCAGCAACGTACACAGCCAGCCCGCTGTTTTCTCCAAAGTCTTTCCCTGAGGAGAATGCCAGGTCACTGCTGGAGAAGTTTTTTAATCTAAAGTGACAGAAGACACAGAAAAATAGTCTGAGGAAGATTCACTGTAGCCACAATCAGTCCCAGGTGGCAGAATTCAATATACCTGAGTTAAAGCTTTGCTGCACTGCAGCGCAGGAGCAAAACCAGCCGGTCCCAGCATGTCAGATCCCAGTCCTCAGGGAGCCAAAACCTTTTTGGCTGACAAAGTATTTGATAATCAACATAAGCACTGGATCTTTGATGTCCCTTGCAACCAAAGCCTTTCTATCTTACTGTAACACTGGGGCAAGTTTCTCTGGCCCAAGGTAACAGTCCTGCTTTAGCAAAAGAAATATGGTTGGGTTTTGTTGTTTTTCACATCTGGGGCATTCTGCTATGAGAGGAATAGGGGATCAAGGAGGTGGAGAGGAGAAGGAGGAAATGAAGTTTTCTTAAGCTCCATGAAACAGATGGATGTGCATGAAGCCCCGCAAAAAATTCAGAATTTTCATCTGTCCAATAAGGCAAACAGCCAGCCTGTTTACCCTGTGTCCCTTTTGTACATTTCCTTGTAAAATGTAGGGAGCAAAGGAAGCTGGTGTGAAAGCATTAGCTGTTATTCAGGTTTTTCAGAATAAAATCTCACAGGTTCTAGCACATCCATGTCCCAGCTTCCCTGCTCTTCTGAAACTGTGTCCTGTTCCACATTGGGCTATTTAATACTCACATTTCACATTTTGGGAAGTGCATGAGTGTTTTTGCATGGAACCTGGCTGGTTTCACTGCTGATTTCATGCCTGCAACAAGCAACATTTCACATGGCTTCTCTGTTCAGCTCCAGGCCCAGAAGCAAACAAGAAAGGAGCGGGCTCTCAGCAAGATCCAGCTTTTCAGCTGTTGGTTTGTGGAGGGTGGGGTGCCCAGAGGAAAACAGAACCATGGATAAGATTATATAAATAACTGTTGTTTTTCTTGGCCTGGGAAATGCAGATCAACACTTGGATGAATGTTGCCTTACATACATTTCAGAGCACAATGGCACCTTGTTGTTGCTTTGAAACTTTGTTGAAAACCCGAAGCCAAGAAAAAGTTATCACATAAATGAGCGGAGCCCCGTGCTAGGAGAGTTTCACCGCGGCCCCTGCAACAAAGCGCTGCCCAAGCGGCGCTCAGGAATCTGCAGTGATTAATTGGAACCTTTAAGGATTACTCCAATTTCATGTGATTTCATACAGTTCACTCGAAACTTTGTTGTACTTGGGCAGGTGGGGTCAAAGCGCTTTCTTTCTCCCACTTTCCTCAAATGTCTTCGGGTTATTGGATTTAAAAACTCCGCAACCCCAAGCCTTAAAATTCTATTGCCCCTAAAAAATAAGCTTTTTAAATAATTGTTTAATTTAATCTTTTAGAGCAAAAGGTCAGTGTATATTGATAATATGTCAAACACTGATCTCAAGCATGATTACAACATAGGGCTTATTGGTGTGGTGGTACATTTTCGTGTTGGATGCTTTAGGGCTTTTTGCTTTCTGGTGCTTTCCTCCTAAAAGTGTACTTTAACACAGAAATCAGGGTAGAGTTCAGGTTGATCTGCCAACTTTCATCTCTTAGTTGCAAGTACAAATGCATGGGGGAGAGCCAACACCCCAAGCTCTGGAGGAGTTTTTGCCAGTGAGGTAGAGAATCAGATTCACTGCAGAGCCCCGTGGCTTCTCCTCCTTTTGAATGGTATGGAAATTGAGAAAAACCTCGAGATGCAATTCTTCCTAAGTACGTGTTACATACAATGTATGCATAATATAACACAACAGTCTTTGGAGACATAGGAAGAACAATTCAATTTCATCGATAATATTCAAAACCAGTTTTCACTGAGAATTCACCTCAAAGTTTATCTGCTTCAAAATACATTATGATGTCTTTAATTTTATTTTTTTTTTCTCTCTCTGTCTCTCCATTTTTGTGTTCATTTTCATGCTCTAAATAATTCCAACATTTACCATGGTAGACTGTGGTTGTTACCAAGGCCTATGTGCAAGAACCTCACAAGATTTTTAGCTTCAAGTCCTGGATATTCCATCAAGCAAATATTCTTCCAGCCAGTCTTTGGCTGCTAGAACTGAGCCAGAACTTCAGCATATGTTTATCAGGGGAGTCTCTACAGTCTATCAATTCATACTACCAAAAGGGCAAGCAAATCAGCACCCTTAAACACCATTGCAAGGTTAAAATTCTGGTTTAACTCTGGTTAAAACTGAATTCCTCACTGGCCCTGCAGTGGGGAGGAACTACAATTAGTGCTGGTCAATCAAGATGCCAGAAATTCTGAGACATAGAAAATGTCCCAAAATACACTTTGGGGTAACAATTGCCCTCATGGAGAATTAAGAAAGACTGATATCCACATGTTTCTGTGTTTGAGTAAAAGAAGAGTTGAAGTTGCCTGAAAAGGGGCTCTGCAGTCAATAGCAACATGGCCCTGGGCCCAGAGCAGTGTCATAGGACAACACAGAAGGAACCAGAACATCTTTTGGAAGGGAGCTTTGGCCCACTAGGTTCAGGGTCCTTTTGGAGCCCAGCCACTTCTGCTGCTGGATCCCAGCTCAACATCAGAGCATGCCACTCTGGGCTGTGCCCAGCTGAGGTTTGAAGATAACCAAGAATGCATTGACAGATACATAAGGAAATGTCCCTCATCTCTTCCTTCAGCAGCCTGCAGCCTCACAGTGCCTGGCACCGCACCTTTTACAGTGTGCAAACAGCCAGGAAAGCTTCGTTTTGACCCAAAGCAGCTCCCAGCGCAAGCACAACACGAGATACACGCGCAGCTCTGCAGAGCTGTTGCCAAGAACAGAGCCCTGGTGGTGCCCAGGGCCCTGGCACGGTCCCACAGCCGGCAGCAGAGGTACCTGAGGTGCGGCGGGAGCTGGAACTTGTTGCGCACGTCGGCGACGCGCCGGCCGAGGTACGGGGTGTCCACGGTGATGAAGATCCCTCTGTAGCCGGCTCTCTCCGCGCGCCTCACCAGCGACTCCGTGACCTCCCGGTCCTTGTACACGTACAGCTGCAGCCAGCGAAGGCCGGCCGGAGCTGCCTCAGCCACCTCCTCGATGGATGAGGTGGCCCAGGAGCTCAGCATCATCCCTGTCCCCACGGCCTGGCAGGCTGGAGGAGCACAAAGTGAGATTTTCCAAACAGGAGCATTAAAATAATGCATTTAAGGCTCCCAACTTTTCAAACGTTGCCACGTTGCCTCCCAAAAATCACCGTCCGCACACGCGACTGCCAACGCAGGCTGCACCGGCTAACCTCACACAGATATGTTTTTATGAATCTATCACTTATTCTTTTTGGAATAATCTGTCACTTATTGTAAAATAAGGAAAACATGCCATAAAACTCAAAAATATTATAGAAAGCCTTGCTTTCCTTGGTCTACCACAGTATGCATATTTTTAATGTAAATGGACCTCTGTTTCAAGACGTCATCCCCAGCCCATGGAGGAATTAAAAAGTGGTCTTTATGACAACATTTTATTAAATAAGGATTACAAGCCTCTTGGAGTGGAAACTTATGAACAGCTTATTCAAACAAATTGGTTACACCCTCCCAGGGCCACCAGCTAGTTTTCCCTCACTGGAAATACAGCAGCAATCACTCAAACCTCTCTGGTTCGTAACCATTCTGTTCCTCTCCTTTAAATTACTGGACATAGTTCCCTCTATATCGGGAATGCGCGGGAGGGTTGTGAACCCAGGAATTGTGAAACCCTCACATCAGATAAGGGAGAAATGTAAATGTTCAATCTGCCTTTAGGTATGCATTTATTTCCACTTTTTCCTTTTATTCCCAAAGCCCTATGGTTGCAAAAGCAAAAATTTGGTCAGCAACTGCACAACAAAACATTTTTGGTGAAGAGAAGATATAAGTCACAATATATCACCACATCCTTTCAACTTAGCTGCATACGTAGCAACAGAGTAAATAGTGTTTTTCTCTTATTTTAAGCAGTTTGGTTCAATGAGAGTTCAGCCATCCCAAACGGGGTTCTGGAATTTTCATGCAGGCATGCTCACAAAATTCCCCTCGTCTCTCCTGTAAAGTTCGCAGCTCTCTAGTGAAGCACCAGCTCAACACACATAGTTTAGATCTCTCAGGCAAATCCAAAGTTCACAGACAAAATTTTTCAAAGTTTTAGAAATTCCCAGTTCCAGTTTTGGTCGATCTATGCTTGATCTTGATCATTTTAAAGCTTATTTTGACAATCCTCTAGACTTCTAAAACCATGAGATACAGAGGCCTGAAGTGCTGCAAGGTTTGGTTGGGGTTTTTTTCCCACCTCAAATTAGGTTTCTCTAAAAATACACTCCCACTTCTCACACATTTAGGTGCAGCTGAAGAAAACAGAAGCAATTAATTTCCTCTAACAACCACATTTTACTGCTTCACTTTTGGGGTGCTTCAAATTATTTATTATTTCAAATCAGTCCTACTACAGCCATATTCCCACAGGATGCTCTTGCTGCAATATGTGACATTTACCAGAGTTTAAGCATGAGATGTTTTTGTAAACCAGCCTTTCCTCTTGCCATTTCATGATTGCTTTTAGTTGTTTGTTTTTTTATGTGGTTTTTTTTCCAGGTCTTCTTTTAATCCTGAGCATTGCCCAAAGGACACATTCACTCTTGTACACCCTGAAGGCTCCTGTTGGGCTCCATGACAGAGCAGAGAGAACAGCAGTAGCCACACACAGGGAGCTGGGGAAATCCATGGAATCACAGAATGGTAAAGAGTCTCTTCCTCATCTCTAATCCAAACCTGCCCTCTGGCAGTTTGAAGCCATTCACTCTTGGGGAACTCAACTGAAGTATTTTATGTAGCAACAAATGGGATAGGATGCACTTGGGAGCTCCAGTGGGGAGCAGAGCAGGGACCTTTCTTAGCCCTTTTCTCATCCTGAAGCCTCAGAGCATCATCCCCCCATCTGAAGGGGCATCACTTCATTACTTGGTTTGGGAAGGATATGGAATTTGTCCCTGTGGGCAGCTCAGAGGAAGAATACTTCAGGGAGGGCACTGGAGAGGAGCCCAGTTTAAGCTTGCAGATTTTGTCAGGGTTACCTTGTATGGGAATGGGAACTCACTTTTTTCCTCTAGCTGGGCAAATTCCCACCATTTCCCTTTTAGGGGCATTCCAAAGCCCAGCAGTCACGCTGCCCCGCTGCATGCATTTTTCCCTGAATCCACCAGTGAATCCACTGTCCCCAAGCTACGGGCCAGAGGACATTCCTTGGGATCAACACGGTGTCCTTTTGGCACAGTGGTATTTCTCAGGAGCAGCAGCCTTGTTCTTGGAGCTGCATCTCCCGAGGAACAGAGCTGTTTAAAGAACTCCACGTTACTCTCTTGACAAACCACATTTGGCTGAGAGATCCCTGTCAGCCTCTCTTCCCTCAGCCCTTACAAAACCCTGCGTGTGAGCGGTGCCTGCCCTTCTCTCGTTGACACAACGCGTTTTGTCAGCTGTGCAGGAAGGCTGGAGGGGAAGGGACAGGCAGCCAAAATGGATCTGGGATCTGCCTGGCATGCCAGGCTGCCTGGGCACACTTGCAGCACAAAGTCCCCAGGCCATGCCACTCTCCAGGGGGAATCCAGGCCAGGGCAGCCCAGGCCATGTTGTCCCATGTGAATGCTATCCCCTCCTTGACTCTGGATTGACATTCATTTGCATATCTCAAAATTAACCTTAAGTTTGATCACCATGTGGGTAATGAGTGTTTTCACTTCTGTTTTCACTGTGGCTGAGCAAAAAATATAATAAATGGCCAAATGCCTCCTTCCCAGTCACAGCCGTGTCTGATGGGCACAAGAAACCCAAATTTCATTGCTCTGCATCACAGAGAGAAAAAGCACAGTAGCAGCCTGTTAAGAGCCAAAGGAACAAAGGTGTTGCTCCCTCTCTAGTGGGAATGACAGAGCTGCCAGAAACTCAGCTGAAACAGGGGTGGAAAACAGCTTTCCAGTCAATATTCCCGTTCTCCATTTGGCAAAGCAAATGGTGCAGTCACGTCGCAGGTGATGGTGAAACACTTCCTGCGTCAGCAGCAGCCGGGAGAGCGGCTTGAGTGCAGCTGCAGAGGGCAAACACAAAAACTTCAGCCCTGAGCAACTATCAGTGACAGTTCTCAAAAGACTTGGCCAAGAAATCTGATTTTCAGCCATTCATGGAGAAGCCAGGCACTGGAATTTAAACTATCCAGTAAGTGCAATATGGAATAAGCAGGAATATAAACCCAAGTCTCAATAAAATAGTGCTACAAATCTGTTTGATTAATTAAATTAATTAACTTAAAGTTGCAAAAGGTTGAAAAAACCGTTATTTCTTGCTGAGCAACTGGATGGTGCACAAGATTTTGAGTCAGTGTACTAGAGGTGGGTCCTGTTGACACCGGGATCATGTTGGTTTGCAAGCACTGCATGAAGTCAGGGTGGCAAATGAATGCCTTGGCATGGAGGAACAGTGAATCTGCTGATGGACAAGCAAGAAAAAAGATCCCAGAGAATCAGAAGGGTTCTATTGAAAAGTGTTTAGAGAAAAACCTTTTTCTCTTTAGTGGCTAAGATTATTCATCGAATTTGGCAAATATTTTTAGTTAAAGAGGTTGAAATTGGAGTGGGAAGGATGAGAAAAAAACACCTAAGTCAAAATGTCATGTGTTGATCTTTTCAAAATGGAAATGTTTTCTCCTGAGCTGACACTTTTGTTTCAAAACAGAACTATAGCTAAAAGCATTAGCCAGTAGGAAAATGAAATAAAACATTATGTTTTGGATCAAATGAAACATTTCAGTTAATCCAAAACAATTTTCCTCCCAATTTTTCAGTTTCTACTGAACAGAAAATCCATTCTTTGGAAAATCGCCACATACGCTGATGAGCTACAACTAAAATGCCAGGGAATATACTTGAAGGAAGACCTAGAAAAACTGGGACAACTGCCAAGGTGCATGAAATTGTTTCAAGGACAAGAAAGCTTTCTCTGCAAGGAAGGACTCCTTGCTACATTCAGACATGTCAGAGAAAACTGAGGACCAACCTTAAAAACCTGCCTAGATTTTTTTATAAAATAATTTATTATTTTAAAGTCTAGCTAACAGGAGTACAAGTAAATCCAACACCTGGATTTGAGGCTGTGGAAGGTTTGCCCATGACTGCAGTTTATTCTGCTCAGAGTGAGGTCACCTAACCTTTGGATTAACTTACATGGTGTTGTCTGGCCTGGCACCAGCAGCTCCTAAAATGACAGCTGGATGTTTTTCCTATAAAAGATTCTTTACTCATGCAAAAGATCTGCCCACGAAGGGGTGTTTCAGGTGAGCTGACAGAGCCTGTCCTGTTCTGGGAAGGTGCACACTCCTCCCCACCACCTTGGTTGCTGCAGGAGAGAGTCCCTCAGGAAGCAGCAACCCCCAAAACCCTGAGAAGCCCCAGAGCAAGGGGTTGTGAGGGCAGGGAGTTCTAAGGGACACCATGACGTGCCTTTGTCCCTAGAGAGGACATTTACCCTACAACACGTGGGCAAAGCTGCCAGGAGAGCAGAGCAGCTCCAAGCACCACGCTGTCACTCCAGGAAATTCCTCGAGCATTGTTCTCCAAACACCCGGAGTTCAGGGAAGGTGCTGTCGGTGCTCCCCTCATCACCCTGCTCTGCAGGGCAGCGTGCTGTGAGCCAGGATTATCTCTTGGGGTTCAAGGCCAGCCAGGCAGACTCGTGGCATGCAGGGAGGCTCCTTTGGGAGCTGCTCACACCTGAGCCAAAAAAAGCCAGGCTTATGGAGCATGCCAGGCTTTGTGGGACTATGGATCAGACTTCCTTGGCTTGTGCAAACTGGTGCAGCTGAAGCAGAAGATGAATTAAAGCAACCAAGTTTGCTCACTTAAACTCTGTGCTACCTCTGGAATAGAAGTTGGATGTGGCAAACCTCCTGATTCTGAGTGTCCAAGGTTTAAGAGAACCTGTAAGCCAGATGTGTACTTTACAGCTAATTTCTGTCATCTTATAAGGTCAAACCAAAAGCTTGGCATTGAGTGCCCCGCTCCACCTCTAACAGCACAAAACCAAAGCCTTTTTTTCTCCCCCAAATGCCAATGCAATACAGAAGGTGTGATTTTAATACTGCCCTCCTTTGAAAGCAATGAAGAATTCACCAGCTCCAATGGATAAGTTTCCTAGACCACACATTCCAACTAGTGCCAGTACACTGAGCTGTCCCAGCTTGAAAACCCAGGAACATTAAATGCACTAATCACGTGTTAAAGTTAGAAACTGTGCTACTCAGCCTTATTATTCCACTCAACTTTGCGTGCCATTGTGGATTTACGTCTTAAAATGTGGCCGGGCTGCAGCATCAGCGTGAATCTTTGCTGAGAAACATTCTGAATTTTGTGTTGCAAATCTCGCTCTCACCATTGCATTAATATGTTTGCACTTGGGGTTTCAGTTTCCTCCCGGCACAAGCCGGCCCAGAACAAACCCGCAGGAGCTGCCAAAGGATGGGACAGCACCGAGGAGCTTCCCAAGCCCATCCGAGGTGCTGGAGCGCCATCGCGTGGGGTGTGCCGGCATTCACAAACCGGGAGAACAGCGACGGCTCCCTAACAAAGCTCTTGGGAAGGGGAAACGCGCGGCCCCAAACACGCTGCCACGCTGGAGAGGTGTGTTTTTCAAAGATAGCGCTGGAGCTGTGCTGTAACCCAGCCCCGCGCACATCACAGCGATGAGAACTGAGAGCAGCTCCCGCTGCAGGGCTGAGAACTCGACTCGCTTCACCCCAGGATCTGCTGCACTCTGGAAACACCGTTAGATAAATAACCCAACCATGCACAGGATTATTTTTTTTTTAAATATCAGCTATTTAGGTTTTTTGCCCTTTTCCTTTCATCACTGGAGCACTGAAATGCACAGCCCACACCTCTTCCTCAGATTTGGTGCCATTCTTTAGCTGGGTTGAAGGAGCAGGTGACAATTCCCCATCTGAATTCTGGTTAATATCCTTTCAGGCTGCAGCCTCTGTGCTGGCAATATTTTTGTGCAGCTTCTAGCCCAGAGGGGCCCTTATCTCACTGCTTCCCTGGGATGCTCTCAAAGAGCTCTCTTCAAAGCAAGGATTGTTCCCAGGCAAACAAAGGCCTCAGCATTTCTAAAGTCAATTCTCTAACAGAAGAGCATTGCTGTGACAGTGTTTATAGTTACATAGAATGTATAGGTAGGCAGATAGATGTTTTCAGTTTTATATGCAACAAATTATTCCACTCTTGCATCCTTCATTTCCCTCAGTTTCACAGAGAGAGAAACCACACTCAGATGAGTGAAAGGGTAAAAAACAAAGGCAAGAATCAGCCTGGTTACCCTGAGCAGGAGCTGAAACCCACAGAGGAGCAAGGAACCCAGCTGGGATGGCCAGGCAGCAGGCACAGCACTGCCCTGTCCCTCCCCACCCAGGGCTCACCTCTGGCAGTCGCCGTCTCTCCGTGGGGGTGAGCCATGCGCTGCATGGCGGTGGCGGCCACGCACACGGGCACCGTGACCCTCTGGCCCAGAACAGAGGTGGACAGGTCCATCACCGAGACGTCCCTGAGCACCCGGGGGTACAGCTTCCACCTGGCATGCACACAGATAAACTGAATTTCAAATGGCTGCAGCATGGGGGGAATTTACAGTTCCCAATGGGTAAGAGCAGGTTTTCCTGCTGTCACACGGTGGAAGCTGTGTCGGGGCTGGAACAGAATCCCACTGTGTCATCCAGAGCTGCAGCAAAACTGCAGGGCACAAAACCTTGAGGGAGGAGGCAAGGAAGGACCAAAGAGCAGTGAGGCTGAAAGAGGCAAAGACCCCTTGAACATTTTTGGCTGGTATTGTTTGGGACAGGAGCTGTAAAACAATGAGGTTCATGCTGAGTCTCAGCCTTCTGAAAGCCTTGGGGCAGAACTGGGTGCCAGATGCTGCCTGCAAATGGGAAAAGTCATCAGCCACCCTCAGTTATCCTATTGATGGACTAGGGAACCCAAAAGACATGGGATTTTTGGATAACCAAGCCTGGCCTGCGTGCTTGAAACTCTCTTCTCCAAACCAGAGCAAACTAAACCACACTTAATCTGAAATTACAGTTTACTGCAGCCAGGCTGGACACCACATGTCTGCACACACAGAAATGTACCTTTTTTTTCAACCCCCCCAAAACAGCATCAAAAGATCATAATCCCTGTGATGGGGTTGCATTCCTGGGGATACCTGTGCCATGGGACTTTTCCCCAGGTGTTGTCACAGAAGCCACAAGAGGAGGTGCAACACTTGGGGCTGCCTCTCCTGAGCTCAGCCAGGCCAAAGCTCTGCTCCCTGCAAGCACTGACCTCTCACTGAGGCCTCCCTCCCTTCAAAGGGGCTCCCATGGCTCCTGAACTGTAATTACACGGAAGAATTAAAAATGTATGGTCTAATACTGCTCAGCACCAGAATGCTCGAGCTGATAGTATTTTAGCTACCAGCACGGAAAGAGAACCAGAGCCACTGCTACCCTCTGACAGGGAGTAGGGGTGAGCTTGAGCTTGCCAGCTCCCCAGGCAGTGCTCCCCAGGGAGGAGAAGGACAGTTATGATGCTTGGAAGGAGATGTGTGGCTGTGGAAGTCAGCTGTGCTGCTCAGTGCCAAGACACACACGGCAGGAACATCTCCTCACACTTGTTTTCATGCCATTGTAAGTTTGTTATTTTTCAGGGGAGGATGGGCTCAGGGTGGGACAAAGAAAACATGACTTCTTTCTCCCCATTTTTTTCCTAATTCCTCATTCCGAAGGCTTCCACTCTGAGGCATCTTTTCCCAGCAAAGAAAGAAAACAAAAATCCCTTTGTAACCTTGCTCATTTATACAATCAAACCCAAAAGCATAAAGGACGTGAAGCATGCCCCTCTTCCCCAGGCTCCTGGTTTCTGTGACCTGTCAGGTTGTTACCTGCCACTGCCATCTCACAGCCAGCCTCTGAGGGTCAGTCCTGAGGTACACAACAAACATCCCTGGCGCTTTTAGCTGGGAAGAGAAACAGGAGGAGCCAAAATCCTCCCAGCAGTGCATGCAAGAAAAATGATGCAGTCCCAAGCAGAGATTCCTTATCAGGTCACATCCTCTCAACCAACATCCAGGCAGTGCTCCTAACACAGAACTGACTGGTCCCACAAAAACACCAAACAGGTTCACTACCTGAGTATCATCATCCTTTAATAAAACCTGATTGCTTTGGAAACTCAGTGTTTCCAGCTCTGAGTTTGACAGATACTTGAAAGCAGGCGTTGTCTGGCCAGGGAAATGCCCTTAACAGCAGCAAGGAACCCTCACAGGCAGCATTTCCCAGTCACCAGAGCACGCATTCATTCAGCTGCCACGCAGCACCTGCTTCCTCCAAGTCTCTCAGTGAAACATTCCCTGCATATTTTAGAAAAAAAAATTGGATTTTTTTTTAAAAAATTTAATTCATCACCTCCTCATCACCCACATCCTTTTTCAGCCAAGTCCACACTCGTGTGTTGCAATCAGCAACTGAGAGTGAATGCATCCTTCTTCCCAGCTGGAAGCGGGAGATGCCGCAGTGGGGAAGGCAGCGAGCACTCCCAATTTAGGCAACTCCAGCTAAAAGCTGTTCTGAAGGAAAGATTAAAGGGAAGGAAGAAGGATTAATCTTTTGGGTTTTTTCCTTTTTTCTCCATGCTCAAAAAACACTCTGATTGTAAATTGCCTTGCAGTGGGGTAAGAGGGAAGCACTGGCTGCTTTCAGCTGAGAAAAACATTGGAATTTTCAAACTGCACCTTATTTTCAAGCAGCTCCTCTTGTTCCTCTGCTGAGTTGTCCCAAATCCCCTCATGTTGTAAGGCAAGAAGTACATTTGGGAAAAAGACACTTTGCTTAGGCCAAGCCTCCATCCTAAACCCAACCCAGCTTCCTGCTCTTCTCTCTCCTACACTTGCCTTCAGGGGCTGGTGCTGTGCCAGGTTAAGCAACAGCTGCTTTTCCTTGGGGAAAATTATCTTCCCTCCCAGCACATCTTGCCATCCACACACTTCTCGTGGTGCACTGGGAATCCCTGGTGAAAGATGTCACAACATATCTGAATTATTATTCCAAGCATTCCTTTTCTCCCCCTAAACTTCCCAGACTTGTCTGACCATGTCCCACTCTCAGCCTTGCTTTTTTAACCAATGTTTAAATTATTGCTGTGGCCATTTTAATGTCTTTAATTGCTATAAGGTAACACCTTGTTTGCAGAAATTGCATGATCTGCATTGATGCTGGCACTGCTGAAGCAGCAGCTGCTGTTCCTTGCACACAGAACAAGGCAGCTTCTCCCAAGGCCTGCAGGAATTCCATGGCAGGGAGGATTAGCAGGAGCCTGCTCCTACGCACACCAACATCCCCCTCCTTGGCATGCCGAGAGGGGAGACTCCAGATTGATTTCCTGAATGCCATCGAGCTAAAGGTGTCCTGACCTTGTCACAAACACCTCTTCTCCATTCAGGCCTCTTGCTTCTGTGACAAGTTGAGAGGGGATTTCAGCTCCAGATGGGGCTTGGAGGACACTCGGCATTCCGGGATGCAGAGCAAAGCCAAGGTGAAGGCAGGCAGACACCCCAGAGAATGACATATGCTCTGCCATCCCAAATCATCCTTTTTGGCCTTAATGCCTCACTTCTGCCAGGGCCATTTGAGAACTATGAAAAAGAAATTCTTATCTGGCCTCAGCAGGAATGCACTGATGTCAACATCCGAGTGCTGGTTCTTTCCTCAGTCCCAGAAGAGCTGGGGGAGAGTTGCTGTGCCTGAAACTTATCTTAAACACTGTCCTTGTGGAGGCAGTTTGTACCATGATATGTGATTACACAAAGTACCTCCAGGTCAAAAGGCCAAGACATACATTTTATAATCCAATGAGTATGAATTTGTCATGGAGTAGCTTTACCTTTACCTGTGCTGCTCCCAAAATTGCATGGAGTGTTCCAAAGATACTGCAGGGTCCAGCAACACAACCATCCATTAGGGTTAGTTCTTAATAACAATAGCAATATTAGTCCTTCATAAGAACATCTATTTGTTTCTCCAGAAATGAAACCATTTGTTTGCCAAAAAAATAATAATCCACAGATGAGCCCAGAACTGCTTTTCCACCCTCACACCTCACCTGACTAATCCTGCACCATAAAGGTACAGGCTAACAGTTCCTGCTTCTGGTTCAGTTTTCTCCTTTCTCTTCCATTTGAACTTATAAATATTTCATAAACTGCAAACCTTTAAAATCAGACTGAACCCTGCAACTAAGCTTCTGACAGGGGAAATCAATGGGAAATGAAGCTGAACATACTCCTGTATTTCACAAAACTATCTGACTTGGTGACCTTTGTGCCTCAGGGGTGTAAAGTCCATCTGACTTTATATTTACCCCCAAGCTGCAGTCAGGAACAGGCAGAAACAGCAGCACTGTGTGAGGGTCAGAGTGAGAAGCACTTCCCCATCTCTAACAGCAGGGCCATCCTTCTCCCAAGAGCAACCAAGGAAAAAAGAAAGGTTTTACCAAGTCCTTTGTGTCAAATAGGTCTTATAAACCTATTGACTATATAAAGGCTATATTACAGTCTTTCTAGCAGGTTCTACCTTTTAGAGATGTATTCTGAGGAAGCCATTGCAAATATGATCTAAGGACTGTTAATGGCAACATGTGCTGAGAAAATGTGATCTTGTTTTTCTTCAGATAAATATGAAGGGAGGGAGAGCAAAGAGAAACATCTCCCAGTACCTTCATCTCCACACTGCTGAGGGGCAGGGACTCAGCATTGAGGGACTTTCAGCCACACCAAATGTCTTTGATTTCTTTTAATGTCTCAGGCCATTCAAGGCACTGCTAGTGAACATCTTTAGTCCCAGGTTGCCTGCAAACATCACAGTTTTGAACACCTAAAACTGGAGGGTTTACTGAAAATCTGACAGAAGATCCAGGAAAGATGAGGTAAGCCTGAACCCCACAGGCAACCAGCCCAATGTAAGGGGGTCTCTTATCAGAGGAATCCATCCCTGTGGCAGGAAACAGCTTCAGAGCAGAGCTGTCCTTATCTCCCAGCTCTGCTAACGCCAGCACAGCAAGGGATGTGCCCAGCTCTTTGTTAGCTGGTCTCTGGCATGATTAGCTTCAGCAGTTCCAAGTAGAACATTCACTGCTCCCAGAGTTTATTGCCTACAAGTACTTCCTTTGAGTGTCCTTTCCTTAATGTCTCATTTTGGTTTTATGAGGGCAAGTAGCATCAGAGCATCTGGAAGCATTAAAAAAGGTACAGTAAAAATCAGGTGAGTGCTACTCCATCCCCTCCTGCTCCTATTCACTCCTCAGGGCAATCTTTTGGCTTGTGTTTAAGCAGGGAAATTTCTGTGATGGCAGCTTCTGCACGGAGCCAGGAGGTCTGGAATAAGCAGTGGAGGTGAGTTGTCTTCTCTTAACATTATAAAGCTTTTCTATGTGTGTCCTTAAAATTAAGATTCTGGGCCCATTTCTGACCTTTGAGATCCTGCTAAATGAATTATCACAGTTTTCTACAACATTCAACTTGCATCAGGCTTCCAGCTGAATGGCCCATAGCCATAGCAGTGAGTAGGATTGCAGAAAAGCAAAGCAGGGAGGGAGAAAGACTGAGGATAAAACAGGAAAATCGTGGTTTGGTTTGTTAAACTCAGAGGAACTAAAGACAAAGCCTTTGCAAAGGCAAGTGCAGGGGGTTAAATGTCTGCACCAACACAGCCCCTGAAGGAAGGCGATGTCAGCAGCTGTATCAGCAGCTTCACTGGGCTCAGCTGGGCTGAGGGGAGCAGCCTCCAGCTGCCTCCTTCCCTCTGCCCTGCTCAGGGATATTTAGGAGTAGGGAACCAACTGATGAGATGCCAGTTGTGACACTTCCACCAAATCCCACAGCAAATTCTCACTGACTTTGTGTCGACTTTGTCCTTCTGAGGCTAAGGGTGACCTGAGCCCAAGTTTTGACAACAGCTCAGGAGGTCAGTCTAGGTCAAAATTGGTTTAGAGCTGTTCCCAGCATTTACAGTATCTCCTGGTAAAGGGCTGACCTCCTGCTGGAATCCCTTGAGCATGGCTGGGCTGCCCAGGACTGAGCCCTGGATTTCCCAGCTCACCCCAGAGCTGGGAAATGCAGCTCCTTCCTGCAGGGCCCTGTAGCTCTCATCTGGGAAGGCTTTGGAACTAAATCAGTTTGGGATAACTGAGGAAAAGGCAAAACTTCCTAAGGACCTAAAAAGCACAACCCCACCCCAAGAACCCCTTGCAGGCACTATAACCTGAAATGTAGAAGTTTCAGTTTCATTAGCTGATTAAATATTGGAGCTGAAGGACTCTGGAGAGAATTTCTGATAACAAAAGAACCCAAATGCAGGCAAAGATTAAAAGGTGCTAATGGATTTTAGGGACTGCTTTTTGACAGAATATGTTAGGTGGAGGAGTGAAAGGGGAGAGAGAGTAATCCTGAAAATCAGTTCTTTCAGAGTCTTTTTGCTAAAATAGAAAGAAGTTGCAGAGTTTTGAAGAAAAAATAGGAAGAAGTTGCGGAACTGAGTTTTGTCACAGAGAAAAATCTAAAATTGCACCACATCTACCAATAAAGCAGAACTTACACCCCCTGCCTCCCACCCCAGCCTTCAATCATCCTCCTACCTGGAAAACGCTGCGACATTATCAGCCAGTGTTTCCTGGTCATCCGCCCCAGATCGGTAATAATCGTACACGGATTTGGGCAGAAAGGTTTTCGCATACTCCTCAAAATCTGCAATGCACACTGGCTTGCCAGACATGTTTGCCAGATCTCACTGGGTTACTTTGTTCCCACTTCCCACTCTTTTAAACTCTGGAGTTTTGCCTGTAAATCATTAATATGGGACTTCATCAGGATCCATTTATCTACATTCTCCCCCCCCAAAAAAATAAATACACCAACTTCTTGTGTCATCCTGGACTTCAGCACCATCTTTTAGTTCATATGGTCAAGGCCAACCTAGAACATAACGGAATAAAATATGGTAAAAAGAGAGAAAATGATTAAGCAAGGAAAGAAATATGCAATTAAACCTCCAAAGACAGGAATGTACATTTCCCTCTGTCATCCAAAATATCCAGGAGACTGAGAGCAGAGTTTGCTCACACCCAAAAAGCCAAAATCTTGATTTAGATTTCTAAAAGCAGGTCCCAGCCTGCACATTTAGGGTAACACCTAATACAGGTGAGATTGCAGTTATTTCCATTAGAATCCTGGATACTGAGGCCAGATGCAGAGACCCAGCTTCCAGACATCCTTGGGCAAACAGCTCCTGATTTTCAGGTAATTCCATCTCCACAACCCAAAGAGCTCTTGTTATTCTGAAAATGTTAAGAGTCAGATGCACCCATCAGCTGGAAATAAAAATATCTTATCAAAGAGACAACCCTCATCCGAAGTGTAACAGACTTGTTTAAAATTTCTTAATTTCTCCTTGTTTTAAATTTTAAAAAATATGCAGTTTGCAACAGGTTTACAGTAACTGTTTGACAGGGAAATTAAGAGTATATCATGTGTATATAATTCAGTTTTTCAGCTGCAGACTGCACATTAATATCAATTTACACACAATTACACCATGAGGCATTTGTCACATATCAGTGTCAGAAACAATTCAAATGCAAACTGCTTTAACCTTGGCATTTCAGTGCGCTTGCAGCAAAAAACTGGGGACACGTCTGCTTGCATTTATTTAAAGTTTGCATCGTCTGTGCTAAAAACAGGTATTTATCCTGCAGCATGAGACAGGAAGTGCTGCATGATAGCTGAATATTTTAATATGTGCAGCTGAACTCAACCTTAATGAACTCAAAAGGTTTTTATGTTGGGAAGCTGCAAACATTTCTGGATGTAACAACAGTGTTGCACCACTCCCCATTCTAGAATGTCTGTATTCTTCAAAACTCTTCTCACCTTGATATATCTTTTTCCACTTAGATGCTTCTTTGCCACATTCACAGGATATTGGTGAATTACTTTAATTGTCATTATTTGCCACTCGGGCTAAAAGCTCCTCTTCCCTCCCCCACTGTGAAGTTTTTCAGGTGCCACCCTTTATGGATCCTTCCACATGTGCCAGTCACATCCCAAAGCCCCTCTGTGACCACTGAATTCCTGCTGCAGTCCAGCCAACACACTTTGGGAAGCTCCACAGAGCTCAGGGGTCCAACTGGAACTGGAATCTCCAGCAAGATCCACCACTTCCCAGGCTGGCTAGTTGCTGAGCTGGGGTGAGGTGGAAGGTGCCAGCACCAACACAAGGGAAGCAAAACTAAGGAAAACGAGAAATTGAATTCCAGGTCTCCCCAGCACATCTGACACCAACACACACAGCTTCTCTCCAAGTAATTGGCTCCTCATTTTAACGAATCTCTCTGAATGAGACTTCCTCTGGCTGCTTAATGAGGCATCAGCTGTCTGACCTTTAACCCTGGAGCCAAGGAACTGAACAGCAGAGTTTGCCTGAGCAACCACGCAAACCTCACCGCCACCATCGATGTCAAAAAACCCAGCAGAGTCAGGGTAGCGTGAACATCCCCTCCCACACCTCCTGCTTCTCCCTTGTTCCTTTGGCAGGAACTACAAACAGGGAATGGGGTCACACCTGGAGCTGAGCTGAACCAGGCTCTGAAAAGGAAACTTTTCACTGTGGTTCAAAAAGGTCAATCACAAATTCCAGCTGAAAAACCCCACAGAAGGTTACTGAACAGAGACACAACTTGTGGCTTAGAAAACACCACTTGCAAAAGCCAAAATGATTTCAGAGAAAAACCACAACCTGCTTGTCCTGATGTCTGTTACTTGCTAGCAAGGGGGACTTTGCACAGCTTTCCACTCTGGACCTGTGTCCTTCTGCAGGAACAGAGAGACAACAACAGTCTCACATGTCAGCACATGAAAACCTCTGCAGGGGAAAGATGACCCAGCTGGGACTTTCTCCTTTCAGTTAACTGCAGTAAAGATTAACTGGAGAAGTTAGCTAAAACATAGAATTCAAATATCTTAATGTTCAAGCCATTGCCCATTTCCCAAGACTGTTGTGCAAAGCTGTTTTATCAAGTACCTTACGTAAGTAAAACAGTTATTCTGGCTTCCTAATTCCCCACAAACCATTTCTCCAAGTAAAGTCATAAAATACCAATTTTTTGAGTGTTTTGGGACAGCATCTCACATCAGTCAAAGCTGAACCAATTAATTTTGTCCCCTTCAAGCCAGCCAGAAGAACCAACAAAAAATATTAGTGGGGTTTTTACCCCAGCAGCCATCTGGCAACTGCACTGTGGGAGTCAAAGCTGATGGATGCTGCAGGGATGAGCAGCTCCTTGGCCATTCAGCAGTGAGCAGGTGGCTGGAACAGGCCCCTGGATGTCTATTTTGGGGAGTCAGCTGGGAAGTCTGGAGACTGCTGGGATGGCAGGAGAGTGCAGCATTGAGCAGAGGACTGATTCTCTTGGGAGGAGCTGGATGGTTCTGATACAAAGAAACCAATCCAGGGCAGATTTACAAACAAGATCTCAGTGTTACTTTTGTCCCTGCAACCACAGCAACAAAGACATAAAAAGTGCCCTTATCAAGGGTGATCTTTTAATTTCCTGATGTGTGACTGACACTTGGAATGGCCACTGTCCTTTTTGCATCTCTGAAAGCACCACGGTGCGCAGGTTCAGCTCCCACACTCCCCTGGAATCCAGAGTAACAAATGTCAAAGTCTGAAGTACCAGAAGGCTCCAAGTAATTCTAATGAGCCATAAAAATCAACCTTTCCATATAAAAAGGAAATTTGAATGGAAATATTAGGATAACTACATCCCCATTTGCTCCCTGTATGTTTAAATACTGAGCTTTCCTTTCTCCCCAGGAAAGATGAAGTGAAAGTAAAAGCACAGATTTTTAGGTGTTTTTATAATGGGAGAGGAATGAAGATGTTTGGTTAAAAATAAGCAATCACCACAGTGCTCACTGGAGTAAAACACAACGTGGTCCCCAGCAGGGAAGGGAATGACAGCACACACTATGGGCAGCTGCATTCCCAGAGCTGGGACTTACCACTGGCCTGGTTCCAGACAGAAAATCAAGCTTTTCTAGCACTTTAGTTCAGCCACCAGAGAGTATCTTCAATATTCCTTCTACAAAACTAGAACTTGGATTTGTGTGATGGCTTGAACCTGATCAAAACCTGATCCCATTTTGCCAGTAGTATTTCACGTGCTGTTTTCACGGAGAAAACTTCATATTCTCACGTCACAAAAGAGAACAAGAAGCAGCTGATGAAACAGCAAACAAAATGTTCACAAGGATTCATTTGATACCATTCCAAATTCCCCTTTGCATCCAGAGGTGAACACAGTGGAAAAGAAGAAAACCAGAGTGAGTGTCGAACGGCCCAGGCCCTGCAGTTGCTCCGTTCACAGGGACAGGCAGCTCAGGTAACTCACCTGAGCAGAATGAATCCACATGCCAGATCCAGCAGCCGCTCACATCATCCAAGGAGGTCACAGGGATGGTTCCTGGCAGTCCCTTCTCCCTCTGGCACAGCTGCCCCGTGGCCTATTCCTGCAGCACTGCCTAAAACGTGAACCACAACCTGAGCACGCCTCACTTAGGTCTGTACATTTCTTGCTGGCCTCAAAATCTCACAGCTTTGGCAGAGTTAGGGGATTTTTCAGGGAGGGGAAAGAACCACCTCACGTGGAGGTGGAGCAGTTATATTTTTCTGCCCAGCTCCATTCTGAACCTTTGAGAGCCCTGGGTTCCTCCAGGGAAACCCTCCAAAAGGAAGCAATTCATTGATGCCTAGGTTCCTTTTAAAGATTTTAAGGAATCTTCACAAGTTACAACCTCTGTGATTAACTGAAGATCAGCATTATAAAAAACCCAAACCTTTTGTTAATGACAGAGATGAGCCAACTCTGCATTGAGGAAATGAAAATGACTCCAAGCAGGTCATAAATACAAAATTTTATGTGGCATTTCAGTAAAAATACGCCTAAGTATAAATTTGCAACACTTTCATGTAACAGACAACCCTGTGTAACATTTCCAGGAAGAAAACCCATATAACACATGCCACACCCCCCACAGGGCAGTAGATACAGAGCATTCCAAGACACACATACAAGTTTCACACAGATCCCAAGGACAGGAGGTTTGGAATGCTGGATGGATTTCCAGCCTCTTGAAAAAGGAATCTGCCAGATTTTTTTTGGGACTTGCTGTTGAGCATTCCCATTCCAGTGGCACGCAGCCCAATTGATATTTAAATTGCTTCTCAACAATCTTAAATTACTTTTGACACACAGCTCTAGTTCCCAAGCCTTAAGGCCCTGTCCTTCATCAAAACATTTTGAACAGTGCCAGCAGCAGCTTCTCCAAGGCCCTTTTGTCTATTTTGAGGTTGCAAGAACAAGTTCGATTTCTTCACGATTAATCCTAACAGAACAGAGATAACAGAACACCCAGATTGCACAAAAGGTTGATCCCAACTTTTTGGAAACACACCAAGTTTAAAACTATTGTAATAGTCTAATTAGCACTACTCACATGATTCAATTAAAATGTGTTTTAGTGGAAAAAACCCTGATCCTGGAAGGTATATTAACATGACACTTCTACTGCACAGCGAATTGTTTTTCTGTTAAACACAAATTTTGCTTTTACAGTGTTTGCTGCTCACTGTTTCCCAGATAAACATTAGTCAAAACTGAGCATTTCCAGTACCACACTACAGTAATTTTCCTACAAACATAAAATTAAGTTGGAGACATCAATGGCTGCACAGTATCACCTTTTCTAAGCAAAGCCTTAACCACAATTTAGTGATCTTTGTAACAAGATACACCAATACATGTCAAATATGGTCAAACCCAGTCAGCATTAATATTCCCTGCTTTATTCAAGAAAACACAGGAACAACATCCATCCTATGTTCAAGAACCCTTAGAAGCCTGACCAAGATCATTCCTAGATTCACAGGACAATCTAAGCTGCTGTCACCTGCTGCCTACTTATTTAATCCCTGCTCATCAGTGATCTTACAGTTCAGTCTATCATGATGGAAAACAATTCACATCTTTGGTTTAAATAGTCCAAACCCAACTGTGCCACACAACAACGGAGGAAATGTGAGCAGAGAATTCAGACACACCACACAAAGGGGCTTCTGATCTCTCCCACAGCATCTCACAAACCATGTGCCTTTCAGGACAAAGTGCCATTTGTGGCTTTGTTAGCTTCTGAAATCCAAAGACACTGCTGGGAAACCCAACTCTTGTGAGAAGACCTTTTTGTCTTCAAAGTGCACAGTTCTTCTCTTCACACTGTAGTGGCCACAAAGTTTTCTTGATTTTTGCAGATAAAAGTGTAGCTTTTAAAAGGCTGCTGTGTGCCTCACCTACTGCTGAGTTCTGTGGATGCCAGCTTTAAAACTGCTCAGGTAGATGGGACAACACCCAAACATCAAAAACTGTTCTCAAGATAGTGCAATGTATAGATACTATCAAGTCTGTTTTCACCTATGTGAAAGCACATTTAGAGGTGTCCACTATATGGAACTCAAACTCCAGACTGGGGGTATTCCTTGAGAAATTTCAATTTCAGGATATGCAGTGTAATTTTCTTCTTTGAGCAGCTCTACCAGACAAATGCAAAGTTTCTACCTTATAGTTTGAAAACATATGTGACAGGACATAGATGGGAAAGTTGAGCTTCCCTGGCAAATATATTCTTCATGAGCATTAAGAAACAACAAAATAGCTTTCAATACAAATTGGCCCTATTAGTCACAGTCTCAAAGGAAACCAGCATTTTGCTCTCACAACTTCTCTTCTAATGGGAGATGATCTCATCTCTGACTACTCTTTGTTCTTGAAGAACAAGATTAAACTCATGCATGTTAGCAAGGTTTATGCAACATATATATATATTTTAAAATAATATCAAGATTAGGACACATCTTATGTTCATGGTTGTACATCAACGAAGTGGGAAAATACAGGATCTCACTGAGAGTACTCCTGACCAAAAAAGACTTGCATATTAACCCAAAGGAGTGATACACTGATATGTTTAATGACCCAAGTCTAACCACATCTAATGCTGTCTACCTGACGAGCCATTTTCACTTTACACAGTTCAACACAAGCACGTTTATTTTGACAGAAATAGCAAGACCCAAAGCTTCCCACCACTACCCACCTGTGCACCCTCTCTTTTTCCAATGTGATGATTTCAAAAGTAGAAAAGTGATCAAAGGTAAAAACCTAAGTGCCTCTTCAGATAACATCACTAAAGCAGCTTGAGTTCTGCCAAAAGCATCCCGAGTTGGCAATGGCAGGACTGCACTGCACATGATGAACTTGTACTGGCAAGAAAAATACAACTTACTGACTCCAAAGTGAGTATTTCCTGCTACAATCTCCTGATGGGAACAAATTACCAAAAAGAAAAAAAAAGTAGTAGTGCTTTGGCAAAATTTCCCACCGACCAAAATAATTTCCTTTAAACCTTTCAAAAGTTCCAACACACTTTACACATTTAGCTGCCACTCTCTTTCTGCCTGAGGTTTTTAATTACTCCAACTCCTAGGGTCATACAACTCAAGCTGCACAGCCTCTGGATCACCAAAAACTGACCCATCTGGGGGTGAGCTGCAGGATCAACTTCCAAAACAAACACAAATAGAAATGGAACAGAAAGGTGCTTCTGTTTGAAAGTGATAAAAACAAACCCGTGGTACACAACATTTTTGATAGAAGACCAATAAGGTGCCTCCTTTCACTAGTGAATCGTCTCTGTGCTTCTGTGGCATTTGGGAACAATCAACATTCAGACAGAAAAGTCATAGTCCTGCCAAGCTACCGTGGAGTTAAAAGTCCTGATCTTGCCCAGGTCAGTCCTTAGAGGAACACACACACAATGATCATTTCAGAGCTGGTGAACTGAGAATGACACCCCCTTTTTCTCTGAGAGGACATGGAACAGATAAGACACTGATTTTGATTGTCACGGCTAAGGTCACACAAAACACAGCAAATGTGCTTATCAAAGGAAGTAAGCAAGTACTAAGCTTAAAAAAAGAGGAGCCTGCTGGCAGAGCAGAGCTTTGCGTAAACACCAACGACAAATCAAGTGTAAGCTCCAGCTTCAGACCCTGAAGGGGTCTGACACTTCTTTGGTCCAAGTGTACAAGATACACCACTGGGAAAACTATAGTTCCTTCTCAGCCCCCTGACTTTTCCGCTGCCTCACTGTGCTTTCAGTCTCTGATTCAGCTAAAGGCTGCTCACTTAAGTCTTCCATTTCTTCTTCCCCTGATTCTTTTCCAAGTGCTAAATCCTCCTCCGACTCATCAGCACTTGAATTTGCTGCATCTTCTCCATCTGAGAGATCTTTCACATCTGCAGCCTCTTCTGCATCATCTGCGGAAAGCTCTGCAGCCTCCTCTGGCTCCTCCAGCGCCGCGTTCTCCGCATTCTCCTTGGTAATTGCTTCTTCTAAACAAAGCAGACACTGCAGTTAGACCAAATCTCACAACAAAGCTTTTTAGAGTTGCATCACCAGGGACATACTCTGAAATACTGATGAACATTATAATTGATTATTATTCCAACTGGGATTGGAACCAGATGACACCTCAAGTCCCTTCCAACATGAACCATTCTGGTTTTGTGATTGAAATATTTTCCTTATTTTTCTGTTATTTCATTAAGACTTCAGTAGATTTCTCCTCCACTTCCATTTATTTTCCTTGCATGTCAGCCACAGATAGACCATTTTATTCCACTGAGTGCAAATCGAACACAAACCAATTTTACTTGGCTCCTAGATTATTGGTTCACACCTAAGATCTGAACAGTGTACTGCCCATCCTCCTACAAATTTACACTTTGAACTACAGCTTTTCGCCCTCTTGAAGAGTTCTTACCAGGTGTTTCAGCTGTGTATTTTGACTTGGCTGGGCAGAGGCAGTCTGAAATCAAAACCAGGATCTGTGGAAAGGAAAAAGGCATTTATCAGCAATAATAAAACCAGCAATTATTAGCAATTGCAAAAAACCCTGCATTCTTTTTAGATAGATATACACAATAAAATTTACAAAATTATATTATCTTGCTTAGAGATAAGAGCTAAATAAAAACATGGAAAAAAGTGCTTTCTCAGTGTGTACTAACCAGCATTCCCTGCCTTCTACTACCCATTTACTGCCTCCTACTTTCCTAAATTTATTCAGTACTGACACTGCTCACAGCTGAAGAACAGCTCAGAACACAGTTGAGAATTTTTGTTTTCTGAAAATTTATGAAAAAATCTTGACCAAGATTTCCTGTATTTTGGGATGTTAATCCGTTCCTATCCCTGGCTCCCCAATACAGGTGTGTATTCCACCTTTTGTGCTCATTATTTAACCAGCCCAGTGCAGAACACGGACACTCAAAATGCAAGGAAGACATTTGTGCCTCACTGTCACATGCTAAGAATAGTGCAAAGAAAAAGACAGAGCTGACACCATGTCAAAGAAATATATTTCAATCACTGAAAAGCTTTTTGGAAAGAGCTGGGAGATTAACTTGACATTTTTTTTCAGCTTTTTCAGTTTGGGTTTTTTTTAGTGAAGGAGTAAGAAGAAGAGTTTCCTTTAAAACATGATATTCACTTGCTCCTAGTTACACTAA